ATAAACGTAGTGTAGCACTGAGGACAAGAGGCAGTGTGACTAAAGTTCAAGTCCATGTTGGGGAATAGTGGGAAATATTACTCTATGTCCAATAAAGTGGAGCCAGGTAATTGTGGGCATGGAGGAAGAAGTTTGAGAGGTTGGTAAAAGAAAACTATTGAAAGTCCTGAGCAAAGAAGTAAGGTGATAAAAGAACTGTATAAGAAAAATCAAGGGCCAACCCGTGACATGGTGGTTAAGGAGGATGGATTCCACATGGCCAGTTTTGGGTTCTGGTCTCAGATTGTTGGCTTGAAAACAAGCTGGCTCATGTGTGTGCATGTCTAAAATCCAAGACAGAGATAGAGAAGGGATTGCAGCATGACCATGTCCCATGGAGGCTGCTTTCTCTCTCTCTCTCTCCCTCCCTCCGACCCCCTCTCTGGCAAGTACATGTACCTTCTGTCAAAATATAATTTTAGGGAACCAGCAGTTAGCGAAAGACTGGAGGACATAAAAGAATTAAAAATTGTTATGAACACTGGAGATGAAGTGGAAGGAGAGTGGGAGAGGGGAAGAGTGCAGGAAGGGAAATTTGGGAAAATATGGAGAAGACATTTGTGTCACACAGATCTGTTTTGTTGCCTGTTGGTCATGTCGTGTGTAATAGTCTCAACTCATCTGCTGTGTGGTGTATATCATATCAGGGAAAATCTCTTTATAAAATAAATGATTGAAAACCTCTCCAAATAATAATAATAATAATAATTTTTTAAAAAGAAAGAAAAATCAAGTCTGGGAGAACACTGCATAAAGGATGGACATGAAAGAAGAGTCATCATAGTAAAGGCTTGCCACTTCCAGGAAGGTGGTCATAGGTAGATTTCAGGGGTCAATAGTCTGTCCTGAGGATGGGAGTGGAGGAACGCTAACTGGAAATGGAGAAGAAGGATAGCCCAAAAGAGGAGTTAGAAGAATCTGCTAAACAAATATAGAAGATGAAAGTAAAAGATATGCCAGGGGCTCAACAGTGATAGGGCAGTAAAATGCACTGTTCTGCGAAGATGACCCAATTAGTACGGTTCCAACTTCACATCCAGAGACCTCCCGAAGTATGTCAAATATGTATATGCCCATGATCCAGGGATGCCTGAGGATGGGGGTAGATTGCAGTATCAAGATCCTGTTGGGGATGCTGACTCTCTGTCTCTCACTAATGGAAGAAATTTATAAACTTTAAAAAAGAAAAAGGAAAACGATGTGTTAAAAATGATGTACGGAAAGGTGGGGCCAAAAACAAAGTCAAAGAACTGAAGAAGAGAAGCCAGATTGGAGGACGCCATAGCTTTTGGACATGCTGACTCTGAAGTATTCAAATGTGAAATATCCCAGAACAAATTAAGTTTTCTGGGACCTGAGTGTGGAGAAAGAAAAAGATTCAATTAGAGACTTGAGAGATTTCTATGGGTAATGGAAAGCTGAAGAATGAAAGAGGGACAGGGACAAAGTGCCTAGGAGCCCAAAAGTGATGAACAACAGAACTTCAAGATATTTCAAAACTAGAAGTTTCAAGAATATGAGCATGATGGGAACCAGCAGTTAGCATAATGGCTATGTCGCTGGATTCCCACGTAGTTGACCGCGGTTCGCGTCCCGGACCCGGTGGCTTAAAACTCATGTCAGGTGTGTGTGCGTGCGTGCCCAAGATCCCGAGAGGAGAATGGAGGAGAAGGGATTGCAGCGTGACCATCCCCCCTGGGGGGTGATTTCTCGCTTTCTGCCTCTATGTCTCTCTCTGTCTGTCTGGTGAGCGCACGTGCCCTATAGCAAAAATCTCTCCAAAAAACATAAAAAAAGAATATGAGCATGATGAAAGGACTGGAAAAGGAACCATCACTGTGGTATAAAAATTCAGGATTCAATAGTGTCACAGAAAGGAATTTCAAAAAGGAAAAGGTGATAACTGATGGATGATGGATAAGGGCCAGTGCATGTTAAAGACACTGGTATATCAACAAATGTGCTAGTTATTTCCCCTCTCGACTACTAACATAGTATATAAAATTATTTAATTGGTGGGTGGAAAGAAATAATGAGTTTTGTATTGTAAGACATACCCTATTTTGGGTTTTTTCAATGACAAAAAAGAAGCTATATCAAGATTCTGCTATTCTCTGTACAATGATAGTTATAAAATAGATATAAAAAATAAGAGAATTATATTAGTATGGATCAATTTTGAGCAGCGTCATTAAAAATATGCACGCTTCAGGACCAGCAGATGGCATAATGGTTATGCTGCTGGACTCTCACATGGTCAACCCAATGCTTGGGTTCGAGTCCCAGACCCAGAGGCTTGAAACTCACGCCGGGTGTGTGTGCGCCTAAGATACCAATCCCGAGACGAGAATGGAGGAGAAGGGAACACGGCGTGGCCATCTCCCCTGGGCGGGGGAGTGATTTCTCGCTTTCTGTCTTTCTGTCTCTCCTTCCCCTATATTAAAAATCGCTCTCTATAAAAAACACACACACACACACACACACACACACACACAAATACATACAAGAGTGAAAAACCAATAAAAATAAAAGTTTTTTTTTTTAAAAAGAATATGCATGCTTCTGGAAGCTATATAATAGGAGCAACACTGCAGATGCTAAGTATTGGCCATATATTACAAATGTCTGGGTAAGATATCAAAGTGTGCAAGTTCTGATAAAAGTTAGAAGGAATAGCCAAAGGCATTTAAAACTGGTACAGGGACTACTAATTCATGGGATACTGCTAAGCACACACAAAAATAATGTGTCTCTAAGTTCACAAGAATGCTTGGGAAGGGATGCCTCTCACCTGCAGACCCAGTCTGTGTCCAGGGTCTAACAGGAGCCAGACTTGCATCTACTTACATTTTAGTTGTGAACCATTTGGGAAGGCACCACAGAGAGAGAGCAATGTTTCTGGTCAGTATGGTACTAAAATCACTCTGATCTGACTGATGGAGATGACATTAGAGAAAGCCAAATGCTTTTTTCACCATCACTGATGGACTGGAAGGTGGCCTCTGGAATAGGAGTGTGAACTACTATGAAGAAATGCCCTCTACATCCCCAGATAGAAATGAACAAATAAATAATTAATAATGACTATGGATAGATCCAGGTTTTGTCAGTCCTGAAGTTTATATATTTGAATGTTCTCTTTAAGAAATAAGAAAGCAAATTTGTGAATGCAAGACTCAGTATGCAACCAGTTATTTATTCAGAATGAAAACCAGAATGGACCTGCAGTTTAAGGCCATAAAGAATGAAGTTCATGAACAACATGCTAAATCTATCTCTGCTAATGACCAGGTATCGGGAGTAAAGTGTGAAAGTGGAGAAAGATCAGGTCATCAAACAGGGAAAAATAAAAGATGAAAAACTCCTTAGGAAATAGTGAAGACAGAACATGAAAAAGGCAAGAAGAGAATCCCAGAAAGAGCCCTGAACTGTGGAATATGGATGGTATGGAGATGAGAGAGGAGACAGAACTCCTAATGAATCTACACGACACATTATCATCACATCTATTTTCCAATGATCAGTAATCATATTGCTTCTATGAGGCTTGCACAGAAGGACCAGATATTTGGAAAGGCCAGTGCACTTCCTTGCAGGCACTCAACAAGTGTTTGATAAGTGAATGAATGAATAAATTAGTGAATGAATGAACACAAACAAGGGAAATACCATATTTTATTACTCTTCACCAGGATCTGCTTTCCTCTGATGCTCAAGCACACGTGCATGTTTTTGCTAGCACTGGTTGGACTTGTCAAAGCAATGGTTCATGCCAATGTCTTCTCTGATGATTAAGACTGTCTGTCCTATACAGGCCAAGCCGAAAGCTATCTCTACCCAAAATTAATTTGGAAACATGGTCAGACTCTCCCCAAAAGGATTATACATAAAAATGGCTACTGTGACCCCCTACACACACACACTTGCTCTCTCCCACCTTCCTCCTCTCTCTAAATCAGATTTTGCAGGTATAGCTCTGAAATTAATAACACCTGGGCCAAGGGCGCCAGGTCAGTGTGTTGCAACACAATTCCCTAGTTTCAGACATTTTACTAATTATGACAACATAAGTGACACTTGAATACATCAATCATGATGAAGCTTCCAAGAAGATGTTGGAAAGCATCATGCACCACTCACTTGGCCAGCCACAGACCCAAGCCAGGACCAGGGGACAAGATTCAGGAGTGTGAGCTCTTAGCAAAAACAGTACAGAGGACAGAGCACTCCCTGACCTGCACTCAGCCCCTGCTTCATAAAAAGGATTCTATTTAGGCAATAAATGCCCTTCACCTTCCAGCAAATTCTAAAAAAAAACCCTGCAGGAGTAGGTTAAAACTAAGAGCTTGCCCTTCCCACCCCACCCCCCTCCTTTTTCTAAAGGATTCAGCTTCCCTATTCACCTATCAATTTTTTCTAAGAAAAAGTCCTTAGAGAAAAGCAGGACTGGAATAATACTACTTAAATACTGCAGAAACCCGTATGCTGATGCTCTGTTTAAGAGAGAGGATGTAAAATCAGTGAAGCAAAGCAGCCACCTCAGGAATTAGGAGTGTGGGTCATAGATGTGAGAGAATCAGCCACTTCCCAGCTAGGCAATTTGACCTCAGGAGAGTTACTGAAAACTCCCACACCTCAGTTTCTAGATTTTGTAAAATGGGGGTGAATTTGGAACCCACCTCACAGGACTGTTAAGGACTGAGGAAATCCACACGAAGGGGTAAATGTAACCACCCAGCAAGAGCTAGTTAAATATTAGTATTTAGTAGTAGTAGTAAAATTGCTGTGCCTGCCTCCCCCTGTGACACCACCAGCGGAACTGGCCCAATCCTCACTCCCACCTTGCAGGAACCAGCCCGACCACTGTCACACTCTCACATGCACAAGAGACCCCCAAACGCCACTGCCCTACCACTCCGATCCAGCCAGAACCCCTCACGCCACGTACAGTCCACACTGACCTGATATGCCGCCTCCAATCACGATTACGTCGAACATGTGGCCCGCAACATTCGCCTTCTCCCGACTCGCCATGCTTTGGTTCAGACTCTCCCGGGTTGTGAGTAGAAGAGTGGGGACCGCCAAGGGCGGAGCGGACCCTTCTATTAACTCTCGGGGGGAGCCCAGGGGCGGAGCCGATATATCTACCTTTACCCGGGGGGAGCTGAGCACTGAGGATGGGGCGGACCCCTGTGCTGACACTCGGGGAGCGCCCGGGGGCGGAGCTGATCCTTCTAGAGATACCGGGAGGGAGGCAGGCACTGAAACCTGGGCGGACCCTTGGATTAAAACTCGAGGCAAGTTAGTGAATGTAGGAGGTCCTTGAACCCACATTCGGGAAGGATTGTCGGGTGTAGGAGAACCCTGTACCGTACTCCGAGTAGTGTCGGGCACTGGGGACGACGTGCCCACTAATACTGACCCTCGGGGGGTGTTATTGGGTGTAGGAGGTCCTGGGAGCGATGCTTGGGACGAGTCGCTGGGTGTGGAAGGTCCTGTAACCAACACCCATGGATAGCTAGGCACTGAGGTAGCGGTGGGCCCTATTACTGACATTCGGGGAGAAGTAGTGGGTGTGGGAGGTCCTTGGACCGACATTTGAGGAAGAGCATTGGGTGTAGGAGGTCCCAGAATCGTTACCCAAGAAAAGGCGGGTACTGAGGACCCTGTGGACCCTTGTACTGAGCCTTGCGGGGAGCTGGGAACTGGGGGTTGAGCGGATTCTTGTACAGACACTCGGGAGGAATCCGAGGACGGGGTAGATCCTGTTAACGATACCCGGGAAATATCGGTGTCTGGGTAGGAGGTGGTGGCAGCCCCATCAGAGGCGCTCCAGTGGGTGGTAGACCCAGGAATCCTATCACTCAGGCTGTGGGCTCTGAAGCCCCAGAAGCCAGACTTGGAATCGGACTCAGTCCTTACGCTTGTACTGGTGCTGCAATGGGAGGGCAGACTGGAGCTCCAGGAGTCGAACACCTCTGACGTAGATGCGTTCGACTGGGAGCTAGAAAATGGACTGGAGAGAGTCCGCCACTCAGATTGGGTGCTCCAATCGGACGCGTAGGATGAGGCCATATCCAAGTTTGAGGCCGGTCCCAAGCTGGAAGCCTGGTGTGGAACCTGGGCAGCAGTGCCTCTGGATTCGGGCGCACGCTCTGCTTCACGCCCACTCTCACCGCC